AGGGTTTGCTCAGATCTCCCATCTTTTGTATTAAGGCAACTTCCTTCAGAGTTAAAAGAGGGAAGGAGGAGTGATGGGCAAAGATGGGACCATGCATATCAGCCAAAAATGGAAAGGCCCTAAGCTCTTCTTCCAGTCAATACTGCTCTCTAAGCTGATATGGAGCCATTTATGGGTATTCTATGGGTGTGGTCGTTCTACTTCTACAGACTGATGGAAGTGGAAGCTGAGTTGAAAAGGAGAAAAACCAGTTGCAGGGCCAAAAGAATGGTCAACTGCAGATGGCAGTCCTTTCCCCTGCTCTGAGGTGTCAACTGGGCCCATATCTGAAAGCACACTGGTGGAGAATAAGAAATATGAGCAACCACTGTCTGAAATCAGCACAGTGAAGGTGGCCTGCATAAGATGCCCAAAATGCTTGAAGAAATGGACCTGTGTTTTGCAAAGATAAGGACGGCACAGTGTTGGCAGCAACACCACAGTGACATTCATCCTAAAGGAAAAGATCAATCCAGGTATTCTCCTGCAACAGGTAGCTTTTCATGTCATTTTCTATTGGGCAGCACAGAAACAAATGCTGCTCCAAATATCATTTTCTACCTTCCTGCTACCCACACGCAACACTTAAAACGTCATTAACTAGTGCAAAAGTCTGGCTTCCCTACCAACAGACTTCAGAAAATAACAGTGATTCCTAACAAGAACTGCCATCACCTTGGCCCAACAAGACCCTTTTAAGGATCATCCCCAGGGCCAGACTACTAAATTCAGCTAAGATACTATGATGGGTTTTGTCCTGTTAGCCCTTCTGGGAATATGCTTAAAGGTCGGGAGGTCTTGAGGAGATGCAGTTTGACTGAAGATTCTCAACAGAAGCTCAACGGAGCATTCTGAAATTAATTATTAAGCACAAGAGGCTGAAGACAGCCAATGCCACCTAAGAGACCTGATTGTGGGTTGAGAGGCTGGTCTTTCTTGACCGCTAATGAATTTGCCTCTGCAATACAAGTTGTTGGACCGGTTCTTTTCTGTATTCCAATATCAGAGCTACCACTGGGGTGGAAGAAAGGGCTTTGTAGCTTTGCCCAGGTTGCAACATGGCCTCGCCAAAGCCTCTTTTCATGTATTGGCCATCTCTGAAGAAGTGTTTTCCTTCTTCAATTGTTTTCATTTTACTGTGGATTTTTTTTGGGGGGGGGCTGTTGTTGCCATTTTTATCATCACATTGGAATATCTCATGTGGAAGAAAAGACAATAATAAAAGCAGGATATATATATTTTTTCTAAGTAAAATAAATGTTCAAAAAACGCACACGCGTTTTGAGCTCAGTCCCTCTCCCTTGCCATACAACTGTTGATGGTTTTGGAAAATACAAAAACCTGTTAAACTAGCTCACCAGATGGAAAAGTAGAATGAATGGACCCATTACAAATAGGGATGTTTATTCCAAATCACCTTCATCTCTCCAAAAACACTGACACATGCACACACACATAGAGACAAACACATACACAAGTTTTAGGCTGCAAGCCCGATCCATTTCTCAGTAATAACTTGGAATTCAATCCAGGCAATTCTTATGATGACTCTTCTCAGTACAGATCTCACTGTACCCAACTACTGTAGAAATATCTATTCAAAAGACATGAATTCAGCAAAGCCCAAGTTCTGCAAACAGGCAAGCAAGCTTGGGGGTAGGAATCACAGGGAGGACTCTCTGCAAACAACCCATTGAGAACTGAGCATGCCCAGTGATTTACTTTTTGGTGTTGAGATCGGGGGTCACCAAGAAGGAAGGGGACATGAACATGAAAAAGAGTAGTGTGCTGACCAACCAATTATGGACAGATAGTCTACAGGGGCATGGGCCAATTATAACTTTCTCTGTTTGCATAATAAATATGTCAAGTTAAGAATTTGGGTGTTCTTGAAGCAAGAACTGGGTTAAAAGGGAACTCATATGATAAGAGAAGCAAATATGCTTTAAAAATAGCCTGTATTTGATTCAGTTTAGCCTAGTTTGCAGCAGAAAAGTGTTGGTTTTTACTGTCTCTGGATTTTGTAAGCCGCCCAGAGTTTCATAAAATGTGGCTATCACAAATTCAATAAACACTATTATTATTATTATTATTATTATTATTATTATTATTATTATTATTATTATTCCGTTTGCCAGCCATCTAACTGTGCCAGTTCAACTATGCCCATCAAAGTGAATGGAACTGGTGCAACTGGATCACTGCTGTTCCAACCACACTTTTGAAGACTAGTCCTGACATCTCCACCTGGAGCATGAACAGATCTGTTGTTTTCATTTCAGATGCATATTGTGCCGAAAGGAACAATATGAAGGATATTATTTTGGAGCCCTGTGAAAAATTAGCAAGTCAAATATTGAATCGGCTTACAGCATATGCTAAGGAAACTGTTTTGATCTTATCCAGCTTAAAAAGTTCCATTATTAAATTTAAAGTTGGGAACAGGTATCAGACCAATATATGAAAGACTGTCTGAAAACACATTTGGGAAAACAGAACAAAAGGGAAGGGAAAGAATATTTAGCTGGAAACATTAAAGGTACTGTACCAATTAAAACACAGAGTTGGGTAACGTAATATTCCAGATGCATTATTGTATTGGAACAGCTCTGCGATTACTGAGAAATGTCAAAGTCTGTTCTCTGGTCCAGACAAAGAGAAGAGGGTACGTTATGAAATAATGCAGTAGAAATTTGAGAAACACTTTGGCTTCTTGACGTTTATTATATTTATTTGTATCCTGCCCGTTCTCCAGGAAGCTTATGGTGATGAACAACAGTTCTGTGATATAGATGAGGCTAAGAGATAACTGGCCCAGGAATATGCATTAAACTTTATTTTAAGCAGAGATGCAAATCCAGGTCTAGCTCTAATCGCAGGATCTCTGGGGTTGTCTTTCAGATCAGCAGATTTCTTAAGGATTTTCCATTTCCTCAACAAATGGATTGCCTTTGCTCAGCGCAACTAAATTCTCCTACTCATGTGCTTGTCCCTCAGTTAAAACAAAATACTCCAAATATACTAAATGCCCTAAAATACCAAGCTTCGTGCTAATTAAAATCCTTCTGTGTGCCTCTGACTGCAGGTTCATGAGGGGCCATTCCAAGATGTATTATAGAAGTTACCTCTAAAACCGCAGGCTCAGAATTTTTTTTTTTAATGTTTGAAATCTTATTGACTTAATCAACTTTAATTACATCAGGGGAAATTTTTAAAATTGCCCTGATTCCTCATGTTGCATTGAAAAGCCCATACTGTATTTACAGTGCAATCTTATAACGTCTCGTCAGACGTTGATGCAATTCGAGAGTTGGAAGGCTAAATCACGTGGTACAGACTTAGGGTTATTATTGTCACATTTGGAGTGGACATCAGTAGGATTGTTAAAATGAGTACTGGCGGGATCAATTACTATGTGCTGAAGATTTGAATCTGGAATCTATCCAGACATCAAGGACTATGGACTCTGGGTCCATGAGGCTGAGATAAAAGTATTATTGTACAAAACTGAAAGGTGGAAACTATGCCTGATTGTTGATACTATCATTTAAATTAGCTTTTTAAAAAAAAAACAGGGCAAGGAAAAAAGCTTTTGAGACGTATGATCAAATTATTTGCAGCTGTTCTGTTTATAATATAATTTTGGGATATATCTATCATTATTTTATATTAGATTATATTGCTAACACTGCTGCATATGTTTATTTTTTTTCTTTTGTTAATTGGTTTGACATAATAAAATATGTTGGGGAAAAAAAAAACAGGCCTAGGGAGAAGTTAAAGCTTGCTGAATTCAGAGGGGTAATTGCACATCAGATTTTCACCACAGTTAGGGACATACGCGCACACAAATAAAAAGAAAGGAATAGTTTTGAAGAAATTAGATTTGAGGACAATGAGAGAGCCTGATTCTATTTTCATCTCTTTAACAGACAACATGGAATATTCTTAGGTATATTGGCCAACAGGCATTCTCAGGCTGAGTGTCTGATGGTAGAACTATTTCACTTTATGGCTTTGTCCTGCCACTAGAATTCAGCACTGCTGTTTTCAACAGATCACATCACAGCCACTAGGTCAGCCTCAAAGGAGATCCTCTGACATTGATGGAACTGTACTCTGTAGCCAAACCATTCAGCATCCTGGATTTCATAGATGAAATAGCAATATTCGTTGGTTGCTCGTTCCCATATCCTGGATCACTGTCCAACAATCCAGGCTTCCAATTATTTCATCTTAGCTCTATTCCACTTTACTGGACATTGTATTAGAAGGCTCTCTTATACCAGGTTCAACTATGAGACCATCTATTCCAACACAGCAGCTTTCAAGGATTTCAGACCCCATCTGTGTTTTTTTTTTTTAAACTAGAGAAGCAAGAAAGTGGGAAAGTTGGTTACATGTGGGCTCTATCGCTTGAGCTACACTCCTTCCCAAGAGAATGCTAAATCTCTCTTGGACCTGTTTCTGAAGCGTGAGATGTCAGCATACTGAGTCTTCAACTGTTTTTGTTTAAATCTTAACCCAACTCAAATAAATGCTTAATCTTGTGCTATTTATAGCCGTTTGTATTTGGTTAAAGAATAGCTGTCATTCAAAGCACATTCAGCAACAATTATTATCTGCACAGGCAGTTGTGGAAGAACACAAGAGAACCTATCACACCTGTGCATACGCTAAGAATGTCATTGAAAGGCACTTCAGCATTCTTCTAAAAGGTGAAATGGGGCACTGACTTATGACGGACAAGTTCCAAAACTATGGAAACTACTCATTCTATGGGGAAGTGGATGCCTAAAACACAGCTCTACAGACTAAGTGCAAGGGGGTGAAAAGAATGCTTGACACAGCTGGTTCACAACACAACCGTCCTCTCAAGGGCAACTGGGAGAGATCTCACTGGCCAGGGAAAACAAGGCGCAGCATCCTCAAAAATGGGAGCTCCTGCTGGGAAAACTTACCATTTTATTATTGATTTCATGAAAATGAATTTCGCAGACTTTTTCCACCACGTCTTCATTCTCAAAAGTTACAAAGCCAAATCCTATTTAAAAGACAAAGAGAGAAAGCATTTTTAAAAATTACATTAAACAAAGTGAGCTTTTTGGATTGCTTGAAAAATCAATTACTTTCAGGCATGTTGGTTATATCACCAGACAAACATATATTGACAAATCATTCCCCCCCCCCCAGAGGATTTTTTTGGGTCATGTTTTTAGGAAAAAAAGAAAAAAATCTTTAAGATGATTATGGATTACATCAACAAGAGGCTGCTAGAGATGAAAATAAGACCTACTTCTATATTCCGTACCTCCAATCTATCCAATACTCTTCCTATGCATTTAAATAGTTACTTTAAATAGGATATATTAAACCTGAAATAAAAAGGACATACAAATCTGTTGTACTTGACAGATTCTGAGTAATAATCATACTCCTACTTGTCCATGAAGCCCTACAGTCTTTCAGGAGAATTAAACCCAGTTGGAATTTCCTATTAGGGAGGTCTCATTAAGCAAGCAGCAAGGGATGGGTGGGAAAAGGGGCAGTAAAACAAACAGATAATCATGAATTCATGGATCTCCCAATCAATCAAAGTCTGGTTCCCAGCCTCATAGCACATGGGCCTTTCCAAATGAGCATGTGCCAACTTCGTACTTCTCCATTATCACAGTTCTGAAATTTCTCAGGGTTTCACTTTGGCTGGGCTTCACTTCTGCCACTGTCCTTGGAGCCACCCCCACAAGGCAAACATTCTTTATTGTTCTTTCTACAGGGAATCCCGGATGACTTTTATCCATCCTATCCTGAAGAAATTCCCTGGCAGAGAGCGTGACTTCTGGCCATTTTTCAGATATTTCCTTCCGGGTTGCCCAACAATCCATCTCTGAGTTGAAAAAAAAAATTGCATTAACTTCTGTTCTTTTTAGTTTCATAAACGCACACGCTCATGTTTATTTGTTTTCATCTGCATCTAAGTAGTGGCCTAATCTGTTACCCATTGTCAGGTAGAGGGTGAACTTTCCAACGTTTTTTGCAGATGCACTGGAGGGAGCTCTGAGCAAGCCCATGATAAAAGAGCAAAGAATGAAAGGAGCTGGGCTGTTGTTGAGAAGGGTTAAAAGAAACCAGTGTTGCTCTCTCTCTGGAAAGCAGTCAGTATTATCAACGCTTTTTGGATCTCAAAGTGCTCTCGCTGTTGCAGCAGCTCTATGAGGTCAGCCAAGATCCAGAGGTGGTTATTTGTCTCTTTCTTCCTGAATTACTTCCTCTAATACTTCATCAGGATATCCGGAGGCCTTCAAGGATCTAGGAAAGTTGCAGGCCTCTCATCTGTTCAGTGCTGCAACTTCAAACGAGCTTCTGATTTGGGCCACTTTAAGGCCATTTGATGCTTGCTGTCTGCCCTTTAGCTATATGCTATGTTTACCTGTCTAGTTTTCACTGTTCTGGGCAAAACTGAACTGATTTTTTTTTTTTTACAGCAAGCTTCATGTAGCTTAATGATTATCACACATCTCTCTGGGATGGGGAATTGACCGTCACGTTTCTGGCACCTGCTCAACGGATGAATAAATATAGAAACCCATTAAAATAAAGTGACGGCTCTCCAAGTAAACCTATTGAACAGAATCTGATTCCCAAAATAGACCACAGAGATCTGGCAGCTATTAACAGGAAAGGAATTCTACACTCAGCAGATGCCAAAACCTTTGCTCCACACAGCAACTGCAGGCTCAGGAAATTAACATTTAGTCAATGGTGATATGATCCACATAATTTGCACTTAGGCACACCAACCATCTGCACAGAGCAGAGTAACATCTCATAGACTTCAACCAGTGGGCAAGATTACAAATAGAGAATGTCCACAGAGTAATGCAAATTTATACCTTTGAAATTCATAAACCATGATGCTTCTGTTCATCTGAGAATTCTACAGGACCTAGTTAGTTTCAAAGTAGTTGATATATCTAGGGCCAACTGCTTTCAAAGCGGAAGAAAAGACCATAAACAGGGCTATTTGGTGCATGGAGACCTAGCTGGGAGACATGGGCTGGATTACTCAACACTGCCAAATGTCAGCCAGTCTAGCACGATCAACTAAGACATCTCTGTCGTAGTGCCTGCCCTCTAGAATAGCATCCCTCTGGAGATCTGTGCAGCTCCCACCCTGCAGCTGTTCCACAAGCCTCTGAAAACGGGCTCTGCTCCCAGGCTTGGGGTTAAGGTGGCTGTCGAGCCTCTGTTCGTTTTCCTTTGATGTATTGAATTGTTTGTTCCAGATGTTCATATATTTTTTTCTGGGAGCTGGCAGCCTCTAAGTCTACAAGCCAACTATATGAAACAGCATCATCATCTTATTATTCCTTAACAACTGATTATGCATCTTTCTCTAGGACTGCAGAGCAGCTGCAGAGAGCAACTGCACAATCCTTGGAAAAAGTGTGGTTGCTTTAAAGGAGTTGAGTTGTGGACAGGTGCAATGTTCATGACCCCACATACTCCAAAACATCTTTTCTGCCTTTGAACCTAAAGCACTGCACAACCCTAGCAGATGCTGTAAGTGAATTTCAAGCAACACCTGAAGCTTTTGCTTTCTAACAATGGCTATTCTTTGATGATAGTCAATGAGTTCCATTCTCTTCATCCATGCACATGGCTTACGTCAGCTGACTTTCTTGTCTGAGTTTTACTAAACCCAAACTAGACTTGCGCCAAGGTAGGATGCTGACCTCAGTAGCTCTCTTCTAAGTGCACCACCTTCCCTTTTCTCAATCTGCTGTCTTTCTTTACTCTCTCAGCCACACTGTTTAATTGCTCCTTAATTGTCCACTTCTTGTTTCCAGGTGGATGCCTATGATTCAGCTGACTAACTATGGCATGCTTGGAATTTGGGGACTGTATTAAGTCATTATTGGTATGATTAGAACTGCATACCATAGGGACCCAGATTTTTGCCCAAGTTTAGAAAGTCCACTTCTGCAAGTCATTAATTGCTTGATTGCCAGAAACATCTTCATCATTAGTAACTCATTAGCAAATAATGCATCCGAGAGCTTCAGTTTTGATTCCCCCTTCCTTCCTTCAAGCTGCCAGTAAGGCAAAGCAAATGGGGATTTATCTGAAAACAGCAGTAACCTTGCCAAGCAAGCCAGACATTTCATCACAACCATTCACATTCTCCAAATTCTGTGTTGCTTCAGGCCTGCAAAATATACCTTCCTTAAGAGTATCTAGCACTCTGGTTCAGGAGAGAGAGAAAAATCTTGGTCCAAGGTGATTTAACAAAGGCGATTTAACTCAAGATACTTTATTCTTGAGTTTATGGAAGATTAACAAAATCATGGAATCCGCTAAACCATCCACACATGTTTGAAACTGTCCAGATAGGAGGATTCACCATTTTTCTGATCTACCTCTGACAATCAGCCTTATTTTCCTTTCTTTTATTTCAACTCATTGGTCTTTGTCCTGCCCTTTGTTTCAACAGGGAACAAGTTCACTTCTTTTTGCACTTTGCAAGCTTTTAGGTATTTGTAGACTGCTATTATGTCTCCCCTTAGTCTTCTCTTTTGCAAACTAAAGAGTCAAGACTTAAGACAAAAATATTCTGCTCCTCAACTGTATGATATTATTGCTGGACTTGGGACTATGATCTATGGCTCAAGTTTTACCCAACCTAATATCCTCTAGAAGTATTGAATTCCTATTCTCCTCAGCCAGCATGGCCTATAGGCTGGAAAAGACTGGTTTATGTGATCATAAATGAGCCACGGCTGATTCTTTGGGAATCCTTTTTCTATCTCCTCTTCTATGTTCTAGAAGGGGTAGTGGAAAATGTTCTCTTCAGAAGAAACCAGAATGGCTAGTTAGCTCTCAAAAGCAGGATTTAGAGTTCCCCTTGGAATAATAAATCAATGTGTAAATCAGTTGGAATAAATAAATCCATGGATTTGTCTCAATCTTTCCAATTTCAAGTAAAATAGAAAGCAGGGATGTGTTTCCTCTAGCCATTCCTATTTACTAGGGATAGCCCCTCTTTTTGGCCTCTACACCTGGAAAACTCTATCCTGGTTTTTGCCTGTTGAGGAAGCTCATTTAAAATCAAGCTAGTATGAGCTGTTAGACTTGATTGTTCTCAAGGGTTCAGGTTCCTTCCCCAGGAAAGGTTTATCACTGAGTAAAGAATGTTTAGTTCTCAGCTTAGCACAAAGGAAGTGCTGATGACTGAAAGGTTACATGCAGTTACTTGGCAAGAAACAATGCTGTTGGAGAACGTCCTGGTATCTTGAGCCACACTAGTAATTTAACCATCAGCATACAAAGGATGGTTCACTGGAAATGCAGATTTTTTAAAAAAAATGTGACCAGGATCAGCTAATTTAAAGTCTCTTACAACTCCTATATTTTAAAGATGAGGATTATTTGCCAACAAGGCAGCACTGTTCATTGGAAGAATTTTCTATATAGATCCTGGAACTGAGAAGGAAGCATCACCACCTGTAACATGATGAAATAAAAACAGGGAGAGAAAATCTATCCAATTCCTCCCAAACAAGAAAGAAAGAAAGAAAGAAAGAAAGAAAGAAAGAAAGAAAGAAAGAAAGAGAGAGAGAGAGAGAGAGAAGAGAAAAAAAAGGGAAGAAGAATATTTCTTCTCCATACCCCATTAGTTAAGGTAATGAATATGCACCGTTTTTAAATAACCTCAAGTCCTAAAGCCTTTTTGGATTAAACAGACAATTACTTCTTATGAGTGGTACAAAGATTCAACAACAATTAAAAAAAATGCTGTTTCTGAAAATGTATAGGAAAGATTAACACAAAACAAAAGAGGTAGTTTAAAATGGTGACATAAATGGGAATCTGGTTGTCAAGGAGTGTGCATTTTTTAAATGAAATTATACTGCGTCCTCTTGAATGAAGGTATTATTGGAAGCTAACAAGCTCTATTTAAGAGATAAGCGCATTTAGCAGAGTCAAACAGATTGTCTCCCACCCACCCAC